ACCCATATGGAGGACAGCAGACAACTTGAGGGGTTCTTTCATTCTATCAGGTGGTTTCTTGGGCATCAAACTCAGGTTATCAGGCTTGAGGGTAAGCACCTTCGTCCAAATAGCCAGAAGTTGCCAGATCTCTTTTCATACTTTAGATTGGTAGAAACTCAATTCTGATACTAGTGATGTTTGATAAGGAGGCAGAAAAATTTGAACTCTTTCACATTTGTCAGAGCTATTGTTCAGGCAGCATTCCTTTTTTGTTTGTTTTTTTTGTAATATCTGATTGTTAACAGGTATTCTCAAACTTTCACTGCTGTGCTCAAAACCCAAAGAAATTTAAGGAAAGATATATGAGGATACATATATGAGAACTGTAACATTACTGTTTTAGTGTAGTGTTGGAAGTAGTGGTAGTATTCGCTGAAAGGACAGTGTATTGACTAAATGGTGGTAAAACCATGCATAGGGATATGATTTGGCATTTACTGAACTTGAATGCATCAGCACACAAGTATAGTGTGCTGCTATTTCTTTTTTCTTTTTTTTGCAGATTTTTTTATTTTATTTTTTACATTCCAATTCCCAGTTCCTCCCCTCCTCTCCTCCCGCTTCCCCCACTCCCTCCCCCTTCCCATCTGTTCCTCGGAGAGGGTAAGGTGATACCATTTCTTAAAAGTTAAAAACATGAAGCAGTATTATATATAATTTTATGGAAACTTATCCAGGTAATTAACATGTGTCAACATGATACCAACCTCAAGATAATGGTTATCACTGTAAACAACAACTGTATAACTGTTTCAGACTTGTTGAATTTGAGCCATGTATATGTGGCTACCTTAAATGTATTCTGTCATCTGTTTAAAGGCCATCTAGGATAAAAGTAAAGATAATTTCTTGATCAGAGGTCTTTGCAAAGAGTGTGGTAGCATAAAATGAAGGTAACTGTGATTTTTTTTTTATGTTTAAAATAAAGAGTACATTAGGAACTAGAGACACAACTAGGTGGTCAAGAGTGCTTGCTGGTCTTCCAGATGAGCTTGATTAATTTCCAGCACCCATGTCAGGTGGCATACTACTGCTTATGACGCAAAGTCTAAGGGATCCAGTGCTGTCTTCTGGCTACTATTAGGACATACACAAATGTGGAATAATCACACAAACTGTACACATAGGTAAAAAAAAATTGCACATTAACTAGGCATAGAATTCATTCTCCCAGCATTTTGAATGTAGAGGCAGGAGAGTCAGGAGTTCAAAGTAGCCCCATTGTACATAGTGATTTCAAGGCCAATTTGGCTGTTTGAGATCATGCTTAAAGCAGAATTTTAAAAAAGGCCCCTTATTTTTATGTTAAAGGATGAGATAAGTAAAGTGAGAAAGACAACAGATTATTTTTGTAGTGTGGGTTTATGTATCCATGTTTTTTTAACTTGATGACTCTAACTTACAAATGAAGATGAAATAGTTTTTGTTTTAGAAAGGACATATCATATATAAATATATAAAAGGTTATATTTTTTCTGTAGATAGTAGCAGGGTAGAGAAAAGAAAAATAAATTGTGAGGTAGAGAAACCATTTGAAGGAAATAATTTTCTGGGGTAAACTGAAGTAGTATATGTGGAATTTTAGAATTGCAAGGAAATGAAGAATGGAATCAAGCTGACAACAGTAGAGCAGTAGTATAGAAGGACAAAATAGACTAGGGTTAGAATAAAGTTTGTAATGGTACATGCTTGTATAATCTTGTCAACTTAGCAAGAATGGAATCAAGCTGACAACAGTAGAGCAGTAGTATAGAAGGACAACATAGACTAGGGTTAGAATAAAGTTTGTAATGGTACATGCTTGTATAATCTTGTCAACTTAGCAAGTCTAGGGCATGATCTTTAAGTTGCTCCTATTAAATTTCCTCCTTTTCTTGACCATGAGGAAGGGAGCAGAGACCCAAAGTTCCTTGAAAATATTTAAATAGTAGGTTTCTCATTGTTTCCTTGCATAAGACTTTAAATTCTGTTTTTTCCCCTTATCCTACTGTTTTAATGAGTTCCAAAAACATTTCTTCCATTGATGGTATTCTTTCTTGTTTCTGTGTTATCATTAAGAATTAGTTTTGGGTAACTATTCTGTCTCCTTAATGCATTCATTAGTAAGATTCTTCAAAGATATAGCAGAAAAATAATTTGCCCTTTCTTTTTGGGGTTATTAAATAACCAAACAGCTATATGTATGTATGTAGGTGTGTATGTATGTATGTATGTATGTATGTATGTATGTATGTGTATATGCATTGTTGTTTTTAGAAAGTACCTGAATTGGACAATAAAACAGTGTTATATGTTTTTTTTAATGGTATAAATATCAGCATAATTTATTATTAATTTTTTTTAGTTTAAATTTAGATTAGAAACATGGTTGGTTCACAAGTCAGTTCCAGGTCCCTCTCCCTTTCCCTCCCCTCCTCCCGTGTCCTGCCCCCAATTCCCCCATTATCCCCTCATTTCCCCAGGGAGGGTGAGGCCCTCCATGGGGGTGTCCATAGACTGTCATTTCATCCAGGGCAGGGCCTAGACCCTCCCCCCAAGAGTTCAGGGTGAGAGTTCATCTCACATTGTTGGATGGGAGTCCAAAGTCCATTTGTATACTCGGGATGAAGGCTCGATAGATTACCTAGGCCTCCTCACTCCCCATTCAGGGGGTCTTGATCAGTCCCATGTTAGATCCCAGGCATCAGCCTGGGATTCAAGAGTTAACCCTTGTCAGGTCAGCTGTTTCTGGGGTTAAACCAGTCCAGTCTTAACTCCTTTGGTCATCAGTCCTCTCTCTCTGTTACTGGCTTTCTTGAGTTCAGCTCAGTATGAATGAAGTTTCTGTTTCCCAGACTCTCTGGCCATGGGATTGTAGTCTGGCACTCCCCAGATCTATGTCTAAAATCCATATATGAGAGAGTACATGCCATGTTTCTCTTTTTTGTGACTGTGTTACCTCACTCAGGATGGTTTCTTCTAGTGTCATCCATTTGCCTGCAAATCTCAGGATTCCATTGTTTTTTTCTGTTGAATAGTACTCCATTGTGTAAATGTACCACATTTTCTCTATCCACTCTTCGGTTGAGGGACATCTAGGTTGCTTCCACGTTATGGCTATTACAAATAATGCTGCTATGAACATAGTGGAACAGACATCCTTGTTGTATGAATGGGCATCTTTTGGATATATGCCTAAGAGTGGAGTTGCTGGGTCTTGTGGTAGGTTTATTCCCATTTTTCTGAGGAATCTCCATACTGATTTCCAAAGTGGCTGAACCAGTTGGCACTCCCACCAGCAGTGGAGGAGTGTTCCCCTTTCACCACATCCTCTCCAGCATAAATTGTCGTTGGTGTTTTTGATTTTAGCCATTCTGACAGGAGTGAGATGGTATCTCAGAGTTGTTTTGATTTGCATTTCCCGGATGGCTAAGGATGTTGAGCACTTTCTCAAGTGCCTCTCAGCCATTTTAGACTCCTCTATTGAAAATTCTCTATTTAGTTCTGCAGCCCACTTTTTTTTTTTTTTTTTTTGTCTTGGTTTTTACGAGACAGGGTTTCTCTGTATTGTTTTGGAGGCTGTCGTCCATGCAGCCCACTTTTTAGTTGGATTCTTTGGTGTTTTGGAGACTTGCTTCTTGAGTTCTTTGTAAATTTTGGAGATCAACCCTCTGTCAGATATGGGGTTAGTGAATATTTTTTCCCATTCTGTGGGCTGCCTTTTTGTCTTGCTGACTGTGTCCTTTGCCTTACAGAAGCTTCTCAGTTTCAGGAGGTCCCATTTATTAATTGTTGATCTCACTGTCTGTGCTACTGGTGTTATGTTCAGGAAGCTGTCTCCTGTAACAATTCGTTCAAGGGTACCACCCACTTTCTCTTCTAAGAGGTTCAGTGTGGCTGGATTTATGTTGAGGTCTTTGATCCATTTGGATTTAAGTTTTGTGCATGGCGATAAACATGGATCGATCTGCAGTCTTCTACATGCCAGCCTCCAGTTATGCCAGCACCATTTGTTGATGATGCTTTCTTTATTCCATTGCATATTTTTAGCTTCTTTGTCAAAGATCAGATGTTCATACATGTGTGGGTTAGTATCCGGGTTTTCAATTCGATTCCATTGGTCTACCCGTCTGTTTTTGTGCCAATACCAAGCTGTTTTCAGGACTATAGCTCTATAATAGAGCTTGAAGTCAGGGATGCTGATGCCTCCAGACGTTGCCCTGTTGAACAGGGTTGTTTTGGCTATCCTGGGTCTTTTGTTTTTCCATACAAAATGGATTATTGTTATTTCAAGGTCGGTGAAGAATTGTGCTGGGATTTTAATGGGGATTGCATTGAAATCTGTAGATTGCTTTTGGCAGGATTGCCATTTTTACTGCATTGATCCTGCCTATCTAAGAGCATGGGAGATCTTTCCATTTTCTGAGGGCTTCTTTAATTTCTTTCTTTAAAGATTCAAAGTTCTTGCGATACAGGTCTTTCACTTGTTTGGTTAGCGTTACCCCAAGGTATTTAATGTTGTTTGTGGCAATTGTAAAGGGTGATGTGTTATATGGTTTTAATGAGACATTTTCAGCGTGTGGTCCCCCTCCCAAAAATAAGATCTTAAGTAACTCAGACTGAACATAAACTTAATAGATAGCCATGAACTCTAATTGTCTCTACTTCTCAAGTGTTGGTATTGCAGGCATATGCCACCATGCTTGGCTTAATACTTGTTCTTAGCCGGGTGGTGGCGGTACTGGCCTTTAATCCCAGCACCGGGAGGCAGAGACAGGTGGATCTCTATGAGTTCGAGGCCAGCCTGCTCTACAGAGCTAGTTCCAGAACAACTAGGGTTGTTACACAGAAAATCTTATACAGAGAGTTAGGATTTTGTGTTTAGAAAGCTGTATTCAATATGCTTGTTAAGACTTTGATTTTTGGGCACAGAAAACTATTCAGTGTGACTGCTCAGTGTTCTATCTTTTATGTTCCAGTTCTTTTTCCAAGAAGATGGTTTGCCCAGTCCTGAACACATACTGTCCGTTCTGATGGGACAAAGTCCAATATGAATGTAAGTGATGGAGGAAGACGACGCTTTGAGGATAATGAACACACATTACGAATATATCCTGGGACAATTTCAGAAGGAACAATTTATTGTCCAATTCCTGCCAGAAAAAACTCCACAGCTGCTGAGGTGATTGACTCTCTTATAAATAGACTTCACCTAGACAAAACAAAATGTTACGTTTTAGCAGAGGTAAAGGAATTTGGTGGAGAAGAATGGATACTCAATCCTACCGACTGTCCAGTTCAACGAATGATGTTGTGGCCCCGGATGGCTTTGGAAAATCGCTTGAGTGGAGAGGACTACCGCTTTCTTCTGAGAGAAAAAAACCTTGATGGATCAATTCATTATGGTAGCCTCCAATCATGGCTACGGATAACCGAAGAACGCCGAAGGATGATGGAACGGGGTTTCCTTCCACAGCCTCAACAGAAAGACTTTGATGATTTATGTAGCTTACCTGATTTGAATGAGAAAACTCTCTTAGAAAACCTACGGAACCGCTTTAAACATGAAAAAATTTATACTTATGTTGGCAGTATTCTAATAGCTATTAACCCATTCAAATTTCTTCCTATTTATAATCCCAAATATGTCAAAATGTATGATAACCACCAGTTGGGAAAACTTGAACCCCACATATATGCGGTGGCAGATGTAGCTTATCATGCTATGCTTCAGCGCAAAAAGAATCAGTGTATTGTGATTTCAGGAGAGAGTGGTTCTGGGAAGACGCAAAGCACAAACTTTCTTATTCATCACCTTACTGCCCTCAGTCAGAAAGGATTTGCTAGTGGAGTAGAACAGATTATTCTTGGAGCTGGACCAGTACTTGAGGTAAGTTGTATAGAAACAATTCTCTCTCTCTGTCTGTCTGTCTCTGTCTGTCTGTCTCTGTCTGTCTCTCTCTCTGTCTCTGTCTCTCTGTCTCTCTGTCTCTGTCTCTCTCTGTCTCTCTCTGTCTCTCTCTGTCTCTCTCTGTCTCTCTCTCTCTCTCTCTATCTCTGTCTCTCTGTCTCTCTCCCTTTTTTTTCTTAAAGACAAAGTCTCTCTATATAGCCTTGGCTGTTTAGAACTCACTATGTAGATCAGGCTGGCCTTGAACTCACAGAGATCCACCTACCTCTGCCTCATTAGTGCTGGGATTAAAGGCATGTGCCACCATACCAAGCTAGAAATACTTTTCTTAAATCTTCAAGAAAAAATTGGTAGATGTGAGAAGATGAAATAAAAATATAAGAATAGACATCATTTGTAGTGATCAAGGGAACCTCTAAGATAGCAAAGAAACAAGGCAGGTGTGATACTAATAGGTTTTTTTTGGAAATGATTTTTGTAGGGTTGTAGTACTTGCATGTCATGGATTCTATCATTAGTACTATCAAAAAAAAAAAAACCAACCAAAAGATGTTTCTTTGAGCCACTGGAAAAGTAGTATATCTCTTTACAAAGATAGAAGAAATAGGGCAAATTTCTGTTTGTATTGAGCTTTATAAAGGAAGAGATACAACCTAGAACTTAATATAATGTAATACTTCTGGATTTCCCCAGGAGTTGTGATTATTAGTTTTTTTTTTTTTTTTTTTTTGGTTTTTCGAGACAGGGTTTCTCTGTGGCTTTGGAGGCTGTCCTGGAACTCACTTGGTAGTCCAGGTTGGTCTCAAACTCACAGAGATCCGCCTGCCTCTGCCTCCCGAGTGCTGGGATTAAAGGCGTGCGCCACCAACGCCCGGCTGTGATTATTAGTTTTGCTACTTCTATTTTGTTGTTTTATGACTTGTGAACTAATATTCTAAGTAGTGTATTCTTTTTTTTTTCATGGAATTATATAATTCTCCATTGTTTTCTATGGTTCTGATTGGATAGGGACTTTTAAAGATGCCTACACATGTTAATGCTCTCAGACTTTTCTTTGAGGTTTTATATACTTGTTGAAGCACTGTCACCCGCATCCTGGTAAGTATCAACTTGACTTTGCCCTTTTATTTTCTGCTATTATGCAGCCTCATATTCAAACACAAGTCTGAGCTCTTTCCTGAGCATACATCTATTCTTTGACATTTGTAAAACTCTTGCACATACACGGCCTTCTACGTGGATGCAATCTTTATACCTTGTTTTGAGATTTTGTTTTATGTGTGAGTGTTTGTCAGTATGCATGTTTGTGTGCACATGTGTTCAGTGCTGGGAGAGACCAGAAGAGGGTATTTGATCTGGGGCAGGAGTTCCAAATGGATATTAAGTCCTGAATTAAACCCTGGTCCTTTAAAGAGCAGCTGGTGCTTTTAACTGCCAAGCCACCTTTCCAGTTCTGACTTTCGTGTCTTTTCAAGCCCATTTTGTAATTTTTGAGGGGTCCCCTCCCCACCCATATTACCACCTTAGGTATTTTCATTGCCTAAACAATTGACTCTGTTGGTAGTGGTGAACACCTTTAATCCCAGCACTTGGGAGGCAGAGGCAGGTGAATCTCTGTGAGTTCGAGGCCAACCTGGTCTACGAAGCTACACAGAGAAACCCTGTCTCGAAAAACAACAACAACAAAAACCAAAACAAATAATTGTCTCTGTTTTGGAGATACAAACCTGGTGATAATGCGAATGGAGATGCTGTTCTCAGTGAGTGATAGTTAATTAAGATAAAGACAACCCTTACAGGGAGCTTTTCCAGGGAAATGCTGGACAGGTGATGAATAGTGCTTTGGAAGAACCTCAGCTCTATTCTAGTGGTGTCTAGCATGCTTTATATAAAAATTTGTTGTGGGAAGAAACAAAATTAAAACAAAAAAATTGTTGTGAGAAATTGGTGAACTCTTTTAGTGTGGAGGTAGGCAGGAATGAATAGAAATAAATAAAATGCTAAAATGCCCTTTTAAAAATAAACAACAAAACCCTATAATTAGCCAGTGTTATCAGTGCCCATTAACTGAGGGTTATTGCAAATCTTGGCTACTTAATAAAGTTCTTAAAAGGTCTTCTTTGGATAGTTCTTATCTGCATTCTTGTTTCTTTTATGAAGGAAGATTTTTCGCAAGATACTCTGACATTTTTACTGACCTCAGTGTTCACGAAGTGAAGTGGGATTGTTGTATCATATTGTAAGTAGAGTGGTTTTATTATTTTGCTTAATCACCAGCAAATACTAACGTTCTAGTTGCTTCATACCCTCAGTGTCACTTGTCATTGACATTTTTCTTCTAGCCATTCTTATTGGTGCATAATAGCACTGTATTGGGTACATTGAGGTCTTAAATAAAATCCTGTAGTAGTGTTGTTGAGCATGCTTTCTCACATGTATTTGCCATCCATATAACCCTGTGATAAAGTGTCTACAAGACTCTCAACATGGTCCCAAAGGATTCCACCTGATTGATAGACTTGTATTCTAAAAAAATTTTATACAACGGGGAAAACTTCTGCTTGGCTTCTTCCATTGTAGGTTTGGATAGGATTAAAAATGCCCAGGTATGTTGTTGTGAATCTGTTATCATAGTACTTTGGAGGTTGAGGTAGGAGAATCTTAGAGTTCAAGGTAAACCTGGACTATGTAGTCAATCTCAGTCCAGCCTTAGATTGAGTGAGATTGTTTTTAAAACAAAACAGAAAAGTTGCATATGTGAAAATAATAATAGTATATTGTGAAATATTTGTTTTTCTCTAATCCTGCTTTTTTTCCCTCTATATTGTGCCAAAATAGCATATGACATTTAAACGATAGAGGCTTTTTTACATTTTTTTGATTTTTGTGATATTTTTGTAAATCCTTGGGAAAAATATCTTCTATAGTGTACCAAGGAAGGACAGAATTGACATTTGAGACATTATTGAGACATTCAAATCTCACTGCTGCTAGACTGTGTGTGACACAGTGTATGTGTCTACCTTAGGCTTTTCTTGATTGTGTTTGAGCATCCACACTTCCCATCACTTATTTAAAATGATATAATAGATTATAAGCATTCACAAGCAATATTTCTAAATATTTTCAGGAATTCGTATTTGCTATGTCATTATGGCATGATTTCTAGTATTCATTGAAATTTCATAGAAATTGAAATCTATGCATAGTAGATAGATTATGTTTCTCAAACTTTACATTGTGTTTGAACTATTAAAACACAGATTGCTGGACCTTATCCTCAGAATTTCTGACAATACTGTGCAGGTTCTAAAATTTTGTATTTCTAGCAAATTTTCTGGTCATGTTTTTGGTCTCAACTACACTGATAACTGTTGGAGTAAAAGTGTAATATGAAGTGTCAGTTAAATTTTCTCTCTTCAACTGTGTGTGTGTGTGTGTGTGTGTGTGTGTGTAAATAGAAGGATGTGGTTTTTTTTTTTTTTGGTTTTTTTGAGACAGGGTTTCTCTGTATTGTTTTGAAGGCTGTCCTGGAACTGGCTCTGTAGACCAGACTGGCCTGGAATTTACAGAAATCTGCCTGCCTCTGCCTCCCATGTGCTGGGATTAAAGGCATGCATCACCAGTGCCTGGCAAAGGATGTGATTCTTATTAATCTTTACAAGAAGAAAAAAACCTTCAATGAATTGTTTCAAAATCAAACTTTTTAAAGATAGTGTGAATAGGCTACTTTAGGCAGTGGATAATTTATTTTTGGTGGTATTGAGATATACCACCAATTCTTGCTTTTAGAAAAGTTTAAATTTTGTTGAATTATAACTTTTAATAAGTACATTTAAAATGTACAGTTTAATGAATACATAAGTATGTAAAACTGTTTATCTATCTGTCTTAGGGTTTGGTAGGACAGGGCTTATTTGACTTACACGTCCACATTGCTTTTCATTATTGGAGGAAGTCAGAACAGGAACTCAAGGAGGGCTGGAACTTGGAGGCAGGAGATGATACAGAGGCCTTGGAGTGGTGCTGCTTACTGGCTTGTTCCCCATGGCTTGCTCAGCCTGTTTTCTTATAGAACTCAGGACCACTAGTCCTGAGATAGCACCACCCACCCTGGTCTGGCCCTCCCCCATTGATCACTAAATGAGAAAATGCATTACTGCTGGGTCTCCTCAACTGAGGCTCCTTCTCTGTGATGACTCTAGCTTTTGTCAAGTTGAGACACAAAACCAACCAATATACTATCTGTATATATAAAATAAAGCTTCTGAATATCTTAAAATTTAAAAATATTTTTTGTTTGTTTATATATATGTATGGATGTTGTATGCACCACACCATATATGTGGAAGTCAAAAGTCAACTTTTGGGAGTCAGTTTTCTCCTTTCACCATGTGGGACCTGGTGATCAAAATCAGATTTTAGATTTTCTGGCAAGGGCTTTTACCTCCTGAGCCATTTTCCTGGGCCCAGAATATCTTTATCAACCCAGGGTCACCTGTGAACATATCCCAATTCCACCTCTATTCCCAGACAGCCTCTGGTTTACTTACTGCTACTATTTTATCTTTTGTAGAATTGGATTTATATAGATTATATAATTGTTTTCTATGTCTAGTTTCTTTTGCTTAACACAGTGTTGACTAGTCATCATTGATTTTATTTCATTCATTCTTTATTGCTGGCCATTCATTATTCCATTGCCTGGTATATACTTTGGGTGATGATACAAGTAGTTTATAGTTCTTTTGTCATCTGTATAAAATAGCTTTGTTTTAAATAGATAAGTGTGGTACTTTAATGAAACTTCAGTTATATACTTCTAGAATCATCAGTTTTTATGTAATTATTATTTTTTTTAGTCTCTTCCTTCAGCTTTGCAAAATGCTTTAGTATGAGCTTAAGAAGTCGGTTGTTGCCGGGCGGTGGTGGCGCACTGTTTTAATCTCAACACTCAGGATGCAGAGGCAGGCGGATCTCTGTGAGTTCGAGACCAGCCTGGTCTACAGGAGCTAGTTCAGGACAGTCTCCAAAGCCACAGAGAAATCCTGTCTCAAAAAACCAAAGGTGGGGGGGAGGGAAAGAAGAAGTTGGCTGTCTCTGGAATGTAAAGAAATCTTGACATGAGATTAGTCGTTTTTTTTTTTAAAGATTTATTTATTTATTATACATACAGTGTTTTTTTCCAGAAGAGGACACCAGATTGAATTGTAGAGGTTGTGAGCCACCATGTGGTTGCTGGGAATTGAACTCAGGACCTCTGGAAGAGCAGTCAGTGCTCTTAACCTCTGAGCCATCTCTCCAGCCCCGTTTTTTTTTTTTTTTTTAAAGAATTTGTTAGTATTAATTAATGAACCTTTTTGTGTGGCTTCAAGCCACCAGCACACTTTACCTCCCCTCTCCCAAAAAATAAACCCACCCACATCCTTAATTTTCTCCTCAGCTCTTTTGCATAAGTATTTGGTCTTCATGATGTCAGATTGCTCATGCAATATCACATTTGTGATGGGGCAGCCCCAGTCTTGTTTTTACCCCTATCAGCTTACTGACCAATGGCCACAGTTTCCCAAGATTGGCAGTTAGGCAGAAACTCTGGTTCCTAAGTGTTAAACGCCACTAAAAGTTACCTGACGATGTTTCTTGAATTTAGTCCTGTGGTGATTTATGCCATCAGTATTATCTTGGCCTCCTGGGTAGATGTGGCTGTTGCTATGGCTCCTGTGACTGTGAAGTTGCCAGGATTTTCATTAAAGAAACATGTTTTTATTTTAATAATCGTTATATGTATGAATGTGTGTATTCTATGCAAAATTGTGTGTAGTTACAGGAATCTTTTGTGACACAGAAGTGGAATTCAGACGAGGACATTGTTCTGTACTGTCACTCTCCACCTTACTCTTTGAGATATGGTCTTTTACTAAATCTGGAACTAGTTGAATGTCCAACAAACCTCAGCCTTCCTTCTCTCTGTTTATTGAGTTGATGTTACAGGTGCTGTGCATCACCACCCTGGGCTTTTTATAGGGATGTTGTGATTGGAATTCAGATCATGCTTGCACAGCATGTGCTCTTAACAATTGAGTTATTTTTTTTTAATACTGTAGGCTAGGTTCTAAAAATTGAGATTCATTTTACAGAATTAGTATAAGGTAAAAATCTGCTTGTTTTTTTGTTAAGCCTTTTCATTGTTTTATTCTACCTCAAATATGAATGATTCTAAACATGTAAATTGCCCTACTGTTTTTCTCTAGTATTTAAGCAATGTTTAAAAATTACTTCTAAGCCAGGCATTGGTGGTGCACTGTTTTAATCCCAGCACTCGGGAGGCAGAGGCAGGCAGATCTCTGTGAGTTCGAGGCCAGCCTGGTCTACAGATCGAGTTCGAGGATAGTCTTCAAAATAATACAGAGAAACCCTGTCTCGAAAAACAAACAAAACAACAACAACAAAAAATTACTTCTGAATAAAAACAATATTTATTTTGACAGGCCTTTGGAAATGCAAAGACAGCTCATAATAACAATTCAAGTCGTTTTGGCAAGTTTATTCAAGTAAATTACCAAGAAACAGGCACTGTACTTGGGTAAGTATTGCTACTTACAAGCAGTATATTTTGGTACATACAAACATACATGTATATATATTAAGTATATGCATACATGTTTGGTACACACACACACACACACACACACACTAAGATCTGTTTTATTTTCTGTGTATGTGTATACCATGTGCATGCAGTGTCCTTGGACGACAGTATTCTTTTGACCAGTTTCAGATTTATAGCAGAAGGAAACAAGAGTTACAGAGAGTTCCTATGTATCATTTACATCTCTTCCAGTATTGTTTCTTCTACAAGCATCTCTGTGTTAGTATGGTTTGTTTGTTACAACTGATGATAGTGTTCTTGCTGTATTTTTATTGTGAGGTCCATAACTTGTACTAAAGTTTGCTAATTGAGTTATACATCTTGTTGGCTTAGAGAAATGTAGAGATGCTATTTACAGTCTCCATTTTAGTATTTCAGCATAGTTTTACTGTGCTAAAAATCTTTTGTGTTTGTCTTATTCAGCTCTGCTACCTTTCAGGTCTTGGTAACTAGTGATCTTTTACTATCTCCATATCACCTTTTCCAAGATAAACAATTGGAACCATACTGTATGTAGCCTTTTCAAGTTGGATTCTTGTGTACTTAAGTTAATTGTGTACTTAAGGTTCCTCTGTAGCTTCTGCCTGCTTTCATTGATTTAGTGTTTAAACTTATGATTATTTTAGAGATAATGTCTTTGTACTTTTAAGAGTACTTAAATGTTTTTATATATTTGATTGAGTTTATTTTTAAGTTATGAGTGTGATTTTTCTTTTACATTATATTTTATATTACATATTTTTATTGTTTTTCATGTAGTACCTGGATGGTTTGTACTTTACTCTTGTTTGACCTGATTGCTCAAGGCATATTATCCTAGCCCCACTCTTGGCTCTTGTTCTCTGCTTCTGGTTCTGTTGAGAACAGAAACAAACTGCTGTAAACTCCCACTGCCATGAACTGAGCCACTTTGTCATGATGGACTGTATCCTGAACCATGAGTTAAAATGAGGTCATCCCTTCTATAGTTTCTTTCTTCCTTTTTTTCTCTTTTTCTGTAAGGGATTCTGCCTCAGCAATGGGAAATGTTAACTAAGTCAACTTTCCATTGCTGTGACATTATATCAAAGATAAAGAGGAAAGATTATATTTTGTTTTCCAATTGCAGAAGTATAGACCCATGATTGATTGGCTCTGTTGTTTGTGGTCCTTTGGTATCATTGCTGGGACTGTGGGACAGACCTCATGGTGATAACCACATGGTGGCTAGAAAGCAAGCAAAGAAGAGGGAGGAGAGGGATGAGTCAATATCCCCTTAAGGATACACTTTAATTACCTAATTTTCTTCCACTGAGACCCAGTCTCCTTCCTACTAGCACTATAGACTGATGATTTAGTCTTTAGCCTATAGGCCTTTGTTGGGGATATGTAGAAGCCAAGCCATTACAAATACTACTGCAATACTACTTTTGCTTTTTGTGTCAATAGCATTCATTAAGAAAAACTTTTGTTAAAAAACTTTTATTGTATTAACTAATTCAGCATGGATTTTAATTGTCTTGTTTATGTTAGTATTACTTATTAAATGTTATTAAAGATGTTTTTGGGATCTATGTGGATAAACATGTCTTCCTTCTGAGATATATTAATACTGCAGTTTTCTCTTTTGATTTTCTGGAAAAGTTAGCCTTTGTAGTGAAATCCGACGTGGATTCATATTCATAAGGTAGTTGTGTTGCTGATTACTAGTGTATGATTTTGGTTTTGTTTTTATTTTTTGAAATAGGGTTCTATTGTGTATTTACTTGATACAGTTCACCTGCTTATCTTATTTTTCTAGCCATTTGGTTACATAAGTAGGTGTTTTAGAATTTAACATGGATAATGCTAATATCTGTAACAATTATAATGATAAATGCTGTCATCTGGAGAATGTTCTGTCTAAATAATCTGTCTAAATAATCTGCCATATATTAAACTTTATTAGTTATCTAAATCAGTTGTTATTATTTGTATCAACCAATTTTATTTTCTTCCAGGGCTTATGTTGAAAAATACCTACTGGAGAAATCTAGACTTGTTTACCAAGAGCATAATGAACGGTATATATTTTTATTTGTATAATTACATCAAATTTATTGCATCATACAGATTCCCTTTTAGATTCTTTGTATACTGCAACCCTAATTCACTGTATATCATGCATAATTTTTATAAGTAGCTACTATTTCTTTTTTGGGCAGAATGCTATTTTTCTTTTAAAGGCAGTTGGAACACTTCTATTAGGTATGCAGAGCTGTTACTCTTTATCACCTTCCCCCCCTTTTTTTTATTTAAATTAGAAACAAGCTTCTTTTACATGTCAATCCCAGTTCCCTCTCTCACTTTTCTTCTTATGTACTAAAAATCTTTCTGTGTCTTTCAAGGCCTAAATGAAATAACAGGTTTTCTATTTTTTAATCCTTTAAAATTTATCTATCTGTCATCTATCTAAGAAAGGGTCTTGCTATACAGCCTTCGCTGTCTTGGAACTCTTATGCAGACCAGCTTGGCCTTAGATGCACATCAGTTTGCCTACCTCTGCTTCCCGAGTGCTGGAAATAAAGGTGTAGGACACCATATCTAGCCTTGAAAGAATATTTTTAATGTGATTAACATGGTCCTTATATGTAATAAAGTTCAGTAATTAATGACTGACTACATAATGAAAATGAATTGACAGGATTAGATTAAAAATTTAGTGCTTGTGTGTGTGTGTGTGTGTGTGTGTGTGTGTGTGTATGCGTGTGTGTGTGTGTAGCAGAAATAAGAGAAGTTCCTTATTAGAGATATTTGAATGCCTAGAGAGAAGGCTATATGTATACTCAGTAGAACACATGCACAAAGTTCTGGCTCAGTTCCCACTATAAGTAATCAGTGAGGTTTTTTGAACATATAATGGAGTAGTGGGGATATAATCTTGATTTCTTGGGTTATAGAATGAATTGGAAGTGACAATACAGAGTTTACATTATTATTTTGATTGCTTTGACAAGTGCATGTATGTATTCTCTGTAGTATGTGTTGCAGGATTTGTTTTGCTGTGATTTTAGTGTGGATTTTTTTCTGTATGTAGTCATAGCATATAATGCTGTAAGGCAGTTGTTCTCAAACCGTGGGTCATATGCATGACTCCTTTGAGGGTCGAATGGCCCTTTCTCAGGGGTCACCTAAGACCATCCACGGGGGTTTCCTAAGACCATCAGAAAACACAGATATTTGCATTATGATTCATAAGAGTAACAAAATTACAGTTATGAAGTAGCAGTGAAAATAATTTTATGGTTGGGGGTCAGTACAACATGAGGAACTGTAATAAAGGTTCTTAGCATTAGGAAGGTTGAGAGCCATTGCTCTAAGGTTTTCCTTTTTTGGTCTAATTTATAGTTCCTTAGAATGAGATGAAAGCTAGTCCTTGCTGTAATTTCTTAGAAAAACTTCTGAAAGATTGAGTAACCTTAACTGTCTGGTAGAATTTACTAGCATAGTCATTTGGTTCTGGGTTTTTACTCGAAAAAGTTATGTTTGCTAATTTAAATACTTTGGTGGCTATAGAGTTGTTTGGAGTTTGTTTTTTAGTTGAGTCTGGTAGCTTGTATTTTTCTAGAAATTGTTCACTTTATGTGGGTTATCTTAATTTGATAATAAATAATACTGTGTCATAGTTTTTCTTACTTTTGTAATTTTACCTGTTCTGTTTCTCCTCCCTCATCCTGGCCTTGAACCAGTCTGTTTTTATCAGTTGAAATAAAGATTTGTTAATTTTGTACATGTTTTCAGAGAATCAGTCTTTAAAATTTCATTGATGTACTCCGTTTATATTGTTCACTATTCTATTTATTTCTTCTCTAGTACTTGTTATTGTTTTTCTTTTGCTTGTTGTGTTTATTCCTTTACCTGCCTTGTTTTTCTTTCTTCCTTTTTTTTCTCTTTGTTGTCCTTGGTAATTTAGTTTTTTGAAACACAGGGTTTTGGTTTAGCACAGGCTGATTTGGAACTAACTGTATAGCCCAGGCTTGATTTGAGTTCTTTGTCTCAGCTTCCTGAGTGCTGGGATTATATCATAAGCCTCCACATCTGGTCATATAGTTTTGAATTTGGGGAATTTCCAGCATTCATTTTAATCTCATTTCACAGTGGTTAGATTTCATTAGACTATGTTCAGCTTGTTTTACTGTCTAGTAATGCTTCATGTCAACTTGAGAAGGTGTATATACTCTTGTATTCTATAGATAGTGTTAGGTGCAGTTGGTAAATACCTCACTGGATTTAATTAGTTGCAAGCTCTTGATTAATTTTGGAGCTCTGAAAGAGTAATTCAAGCAAATTTGTGAATTTTTTTTCTCATTGGTGTTAGAGAAGACAATTTTTGAAAGCCCCTACTTTCTCATTTTACTGCTTCCCCTTTTGTATTCTGCATTCTATTTTATAGCATATTGTTGAATTTGTCACATCGCCTAAAAATTGAAGTAAATAAAACATTTTACTAAGCAATGTGTTCTTTAAAATCAAAACAAAACAAACAAACCAGTTTAGTCATGTTCATTATATGCTTTGTTCCCAACAGGAACTATCATGTATTCTATTACCTCCTGGCAGGAGCAAGTGAAGAAGAGAGGTTAGCATTCCACCTTAAAGAGCCTGAGGAGTATCATTATCTCAATCAGGTGAGAGTTCACGGAAAGCATTTTGAAATGTAGGTAATAATTAGATTTTAGTTACTGAAAAAGTTTTTTAGTGCTTTTTTTCCTCAAGTTAGATAATGGATATTAACCAGTGCCTTTATGTAGGTAGTCTAAAGTTTAAATGATGTAACTTCCAAATTTAAAAGATTATCTCCTTTGTATAATGGTAAAAAATTAAATATGCTTTCTATACATTTTGTGAGATTCTTTTAAGAATATTAAACTGTTTCATGGTACTTTTCTTATCAGAAAAATGTTACATTCTTTTTGTTGTGACATACTTTTATATACTCCAGGATGTTAAGTGTAATTGGTAATTAATGCTTACCTATTGCAGAGAGATTGCTTCAAACTTGATTTGCATGTTTTGCAGTCTAGTGCACATATGTCTGCATGCTATGATACTAACACAGAGTATTACTGTATAATTTAGTGAACAGCTCTCTTAAACATTCTATTGGAAGCCCAAGCATAGTGGCTCATTTTTGTAATCCCAGAATTTGGGAAGCTGAGGCAGGAGGAGGATACCATGATGTTGAGGCCATTTGATCTATATAGTGGATTCCAGGGCAACTGTGAGTTTCTGTGTTAAAAACAAAACAGAACAAAGTGTCAATATGGAATTCCTCAAAGGCAAATGATTTAGAGAATATATATATAAAATTCAGAATTCAAGCCGGGTGGTGGTGGCATATACCTTTAATCCCAGCACTTGGGAGGAAAAGGCAGGTGGATCTCTGTGAGTTCCAGGCCAGCCTGATCATCTGATTGAGTTCCAGGACAGCCTCCAGAGCTTTAATCCCAGCACTTAGGAGGAAGAGGCATGTGGATCTCTGTGAGTTCCAGGCCAGCTTGGTCTTCTGATTGAGTTCCAGGGACAGCTTCCAGAGCTTTAATCCCAGCACTTGGGAGGAAGAGGCAGGTGGATCTCTGTGAGTTCCAGGCCACCCTGGTCTTCTGATTAAGTTCCAGGACAGCCTCCAGCGCTACAGAGAAACCCTGCTTCTAAAACAAAACAAACAAAAATCAGAATTCAGCCTTAAACTTCCATAACAAGGAGTGATCTTCACAACTTTTCATGATATTCATTTCTCTATTTTTATTCCTCATTAAAATTCCAAATCTAATTATTAGTTGAATTGTTACTATATTAGATCATTGAAGAATAAAGCAATTTCTCATTTTTCTTTGAGGAAAAATATAATATTTATGGAGAAAAGTCCTTTATGGCAATGAAAAATAACCTCAAAAGGAATTTTTTTCCATTTAATTTATGCTTGAGTACATCAAAATTATATATTAACATAATTATATACATGACAATAGTAATACCATGGACTTTTCTTCAAATGTACAGTATATTCTACCTGGTATTTTTAAATTTTAAAACTTCATATTAATATAAACTACCTTAACTTTGTGTTAGTAGACCAAGAACTTAGAAGTTACATCACTTTGTTTGAATGCTAGAAACTTTTACTGTACAAAATTAAGTATATTTTAAAGAATTACTAATTCATCTCTTGAGTGATTATTTTCTTTAAACAGGTGGTAATTACTTATAAATGAGCGTATGATTTTTACTGACTCAGAACCTTACAGTTCTGAGTCTTTATGTAATGAGTGGTTATAGCATACAAACATAATGTTAGTACTTACAGGATAATGAACTTAGTGGTTAATACAAATATCAGAACCACTGGGCAATGGCATGTATAAGTTGAATAGAATAATATACGATCTCCCAGAATCTGAATATTTATTTAGTTTTTATTAGTATATGGTGCCATGCAAAATAACTGTTCTTTGGACAGTAGTCTTTCTTTTTGGATACTGCATCTCAGATCATTACAGAAATATAATTCCTACCTAATAACTTCTGCCTAACTACTGTGCCTTACTTTCAGATAACAAAGAAACCCCTCAGACAGAGCTGGGATGATTATTGCTATGATTCCGAGCCAGTCAGTACAAGTACCTAAATATTTTTGTTCCTGTTAAAGGGACTTCATATTGCTTATTCACATTCATCTTTATCAGTCAGCATGAAGATGAGCTGATATACCAACAGGGTTAGGAAAGAGGATCACTAGTTTTTAGTTACTTTTTTTTAAAACAATCTTTTTTTTTATATACCAATCCCAGTTCCCCCTCCCTCCTCTTCTCCTGCTCCCTCCATCTTCCCCCATCCCACTTCCCACTCACTCCTCAGAGAGAATAAGGTCTCCCATGGGAAGTCAACAAAGTCTGTCACATCATGTTGAGGCAGGACCAGCCCTCTCCCTTGTATCTAGGCTGAAAGGTATCCCTCTATAGGGAATGGGCTCCAAAAAGCCAGTACATGTACTAGGGTTAGATCCTGGTCCCACTGCCAGTAGCCCCATAAACTCTCCAAGCTACACAACTGTCACCCACATTCAGAGGGGGCCTCGTTCAGTCCTGTATGGGTTCCCCAGCTGTCATTCCTGAGCCAGTGAGCTCCAACTAGCTCAGGTCAGCTGTTTCTGTGGGTTTCCCTATCATGGTCTTGACCCCTTTGCTCATATTATCACTCCTCCCTTTCTTTACCTGGACTCTGAGAGCTCGGCCTAGTGGTTAGTTGTGGATCTATGCATTTGCTTCCATCAATTACTGGATGAAGGTTCTAAGATAACAAGGTAGTCCTCAGTCTGATTATAGGGGAAGGCAGTTCAGGCACACTCTCCATTATTGCTTAGAGTCTTAGCTGGGGTCATCCTTGTGTATTCCTGGCAATTTCCCTAGTGCCAGGTTTCTCACTGACCCTATAATGGCTCTTTCTATCAAGATTATTTCTTTCCTTGCTTTCTCTCTCTGTCCTTCCCCCAACTGGACCATCATGTTCCCTCATGCTCTTCCCCCCTCCCCCATGCTCCAGATTTACTCAGGAGATCTTCTCTATTTCCCCTTTCCAGGGGGATCCTTACATGTCTCTCTTAGGGTCATCCTTGTTAATTAGCTTCTCTGGGGTTATAGACTGTAGGCTGGTTATCCTTTGCTAATTTATATCTAATATTCACTTATGTGTTTGTTGCTTATAGACCAATTTACTATTTTTGTATTAACCCTGATGTATGATCTTCATTTAACATAAACAGTAAATTGATTACATCTCTGATTACCTAGCACTGAAGTGGCTGTTTCAACTTTAGAATTTTTTTCCTTTGTGGTTGTTATTGTTTTGTTTTGGTGCATTGTGACTGCTGTCCACACTCTGTACCATTAAGCTTCATCCTTAGCTTGATACTTCTTAAACTTACTTTTTAGGGAGCTAGAGAGATAGCTTAATAATTCAGAGTACTTGCTGCTTCTCCGGAGGATGGGAATTTGGTTCTCAGAGCTTAATGTCAAGTGTCTTACAACTTGTCTGTAACTCCAGCTCCAGGTGATGTAGTGCCTCTTTTGGCCTCTGAGCGCCCCCCCAATATCCACACATATATGCACATATGAGTAAAATAAAAATACTTTTTAGGAGTTATGGACATAGGTCGTTGGAGGAAATACTTCTTGCACAAGCCTAAACGCTCGAGTTTACATTATTAGTACTATATAAAAGCTGGGTGTGGTGCAGGTCAGGTGTATAAAGACAGATCTCAGGTTCTCTCTGGCTAGACATTTCTTGCTGAGACCCTGTCACAAATAAATGAGGTGGAGTGTGATAGAGGACAACACCTGATGTCAACCTCTGACCTGTATGTGTAATTATATGCTCCCTGTATCAGGGGTTAATTTTTCATATAATGAATATCTGGGCTTTTTTTCCTCTGATTTTTTTAACCAGTAAAAGAAACTAAAACTTTTGCCTTAAATTGCTGCTAAATTATTGAAATTCTTACAAACTAGAGAGATGGTTCAGAGGTCAGGAGCACTTTGTGCTGCTGCAGAGGACCATGGCTTAGTTCCTAGCACCCATGTCTGGTACTTACTACTCTAGTTTCAGGAGATCCTATGTCCTCTTTTGGTCTCTGAAGGCCCCTATATTCATGTGTACGTACCTAAACACAGGCACATGGACATTGCACAGACAAGAAAACCTTAAAAAAAGACTTGGAGGTTTTAAATTAACTTATATAAGACATATATAGTTGGAAATGACTATTTTAAGCTGTTTTATTTTATGTATGAACTTTTAACTGTAAAATGACAAAAAGCTTTTCTTTCAATCTATAGTTATGTCACTTATTAAAGGATGAAAGCATAGATATATCTAGCCATGTTTATTAACTAGTAGTTAAATTCTTAAGTTGTCTTCCTAAAAATATAACATGTCTTAATCCTTACTGTAAATAATTTCAGCATTGCATGTTATTACAAGCAATACTGATTGCAAAATTTGCATATGCTAGAGTTTGAAGCATTAGCATGTGTGGGTACTAGTTTTTTTTCCTCCAGACAAAGTTGAGTTATATTACCATTTCATAATCAAGAAGTGATTGGTTTCAGATTTAATATTTTTGGAAATAGACATTTTAGTTTTTAGGTTCTTGATAAATTGTAATAGAAAACGTATAATTTATTTTATTCCAAAGAATTATTCTGGGGCTGGAGAGATGGCTCAGAGGTTAAGAGCACTGACTGCTCTTCCAGAGGTCCTGAGTTCAATTCCCAGCAACCACATGGTGGCTTACAACTATCTACAATTCAATCTGGTGCCCTCTTCTGGTAGAACACTGTATATGTAATAAATAAAAAAAATCTTTAAAAAACAAAACAAAGAATTATTCTGATCTATCTGATCATGCCTCTTTTGAAAGCAGGTAGGCCACTACAAACTCACTGCAATTGTGATTGATTACTTGTTCAGTCTTGGCTGTGGAACTGTGGATTGGGCTCTATTTGTTCGAAGTTAAAGTAATGTTTAAGAATTTGAGGTTGGTTGGCTTGACCCCATACTAGTTCATTCACTTACTAATTTTGAAACCTTTGGAAGGTCACTTAATTCTCTTTTATTTCCCTTTGATCTTCCTTCCTTCCTTCCTTCCTTCCTACCTACCTGCCTCTACCTTAATCCTATTATTCCTGCTATCTACTTCAGAGAACAGCTGCCTTTGGTCACTTCAGCATGCTTATATTCTTGCACTTTGGGTCATACAGCAAGACTCTGCCTCAAAAAAGACCAAAAGAGTCCCAGAGCTGTAATCTGGCCTTCAGAAAGGTTGAGGCAGGAGTATCTCAAGTATCTGAAGTTAGCAAATTTGAGCCAGCTGAGCTACATAGTAAAATTCTAAAAAAATGTCCACCCCAACCCTCCCAAAAGGCCAAACAATCAACAATAAAAACCCTTCAAAAATGATCTTTACACTTTGTATTAAACTTGGCAATATGCATAAAAATTTGATAGCATACAGAACACTTAAGTGCTGGGGGGGGTGTAATTTCTACAGTTGCTGCCAGAATACCTGTTTAAAAAAGAATTTTGTAGCTATAATTTCCTATTTTGTGTGTGTGCCTGTTTTTGTGTGTTTGTGTGCAGTGTACATGTATGGAGGCCAGACAATGCTTCTCAGGTGCTGTCTACATTTATTTGTTCCCTTATTTTAAGACAGTGCCTTTCACTGGCCCTGTTACTTGCAAGTAGGTTAAACTGGCTGGCCAGCGAGGAGCCACCTTTGCCTGTCTTCCTAGTGACACATGCCATCATGCCCAGCTCTAGAGATTAAACTCAAGTCCTCATGCTTGCAGGGCAAATATTATACGTACTGAAATACTACCCCCCATAATTTCCAGTCCTTACTACTTCTTTCAGTACTGTTAGTCTTGGTTATTATATTTCAAATAATTATAGCCTGAAATTTGCTTAGCGTACAATTTATTTATTTAGAAACAAGATATCTTTGTTTAGTTCTGGCTGTCCTAGAGCTGTAGACCAGGCTGGCCTCACACTCAGAGATCATCCTCTGAGATTAAAGGTATTCATCACCATATCTAGCTCATGATTCTTTTTCTTTCAAGTGAATTTAAAAATCTGTGGATCTTGTAGTTTATCCTTTCTTATTAGATTTTCCTCATGGTGCATTTAAAAAATAAATTAAACCTCATCTTCCTATGAGTTATTCAACTTACATGACTAGTATTAAAAAAACAAAATAGGATTATTACACCATTTGTTCTATGTATGATGAAGCAATATGTCTTTAGAAATCATTTTATTGGTATGTTCCTTTAGTACAGTGATTTTTCAGCCTTCTAATTCTGTAACCCTTTAATACAGTTCCTTATGTCACAGTGACCCCTAAACATAAAATTATTTTTTGTCACTATTTCATAACTGTAATTTTGCTACTGTTAATGATTTTCAATATAAATATCTGATCTGCAGGATGGTCTTAGGCAACCCTTGTGAAAGGGTTGTTTGACCTCCAAAGGGGTCTTGCACGAACTGCTGCTTTAGCTAGCACCATAACCTATGTAGTCTCAGGTTCTTGGACACATTAACAGTGTCAGGTATAGATATTCTAGCTCATGAAATTGGTCTTAAATTCAATCAAGAAGTGATTAGTTGCTCTTATAACATTTGTGCCCCTATTGCACCAGTATATCTTGCAGGCATTTCACTGTTGTAGGTTACAGAGTTTGTAGATGGGTAATATTGATGATAACTTTTCTCTTCCTGTAGTGTGCAGAGTGCCTTCCAGCACCATGAATTCTAGTAGGGATGAAGCTTCTAATGGGGCACCAGCTTGATTTTTCTATGACTGGTGTTATAAATAAGCATGGCTTTGTCTTGAGGTTGTAAAGGGTAATCAATAGCCTTGACAAATAGCCTGGGATGTTTGGGAGGAATTTCTATGGGACCCCCTTTGGTCAGCTCAACAGATGTAACTCATTCCTGGAACTGGTAGTTTTACTTGGTACTTAAGATGTCTACTTGGGCCTGGTGGTGGTGGTGCATACCTTTAATGCAAGCACTTGGGAGACAGAAGTAGGTGGGTTTCTGTGAGTTGGAGTCTAACCTGGGTTACAGAGCGAGTTCCATCCAGGACAAACTCTAAAGCTGCACAGAGAAACCCTGTCTCAAAAAACTAAAACCAAACCAAAACAAAAACCCTAAAAAAGATGTCTAGTTGGGGGCATTGTCTCCCCCATTATGTGACTCTTTTCCATTTAAATTCCTTTCATATATGTATATGCAAATTTATACAGGTAGTATATTTCCATATGGCATTTTAAAGGACTTTTAGTGTTAGTTGTTCATTCCCATATTCTCTCTTTTACTCTGCCCTCCTGTTTATCTCACCATTTAATCCTCCTATTCTAGTTTCTCTGGTACTTCTTTGTAACATAATGTTCTGGTTTTCCTTCCTTGGAAGAGCCCTCCCTACCACTTCCTGGAATTTAGTAGGTACCCAACCTCTGAAGTTATTCTAAATGAAACACATATATCTAAAGTTTAAAAAGTAGAATCCCCATAGAAAACATTCATTGTTTGCTTAAAAACAACGAAGTACAAATGACTTTATTGTAGGTCAAAGAAAATTAAAAGTTGTTTTGGGAAGACTTTGACATTTGTATAGAATGCATCTAAAAGTTAATTACAAAAGTTTGTACTCAGAAAATCTGATGAATGTGTTTCTTTGCAGCAAATTTAAACTTTTAGAGTGTGAATATGTACCTTTTTACATGAAGAATTAAAAAAATGTTAGCCTTCTAAACTCAAATCCTGAATTTTAGACTTTATTTCAAGATATAATCACAAAACCATAATCTAGTATTTTTTTTGTGGTTTTTCGAGACAAGGTTTCTCTGTATTGTTTTGGAAGCTGTCCTGTAACTAGCTTTGCAGACCAGGCTGGCCTTGAACTCACAGAGAACCGCCTGCCTCTGCCTCCCCGAGTGCTGGTATTAAAAGCATGTGCCACCACCAACGCCCTACTCTAGTAAGATTTTTTTTTTGTTTTTTTTTTTTTGTTTTTTTTTTGTTTTTTACGAGACAGGGTTTCTCTGTATTGTTTTGGAGGCTGTCGGTCCAGCCCAGCCTCGAACTCACAGAGGTTCGCCTGCCTCTGCCTCCTGAGGGCTGGGATTAAAGGCGTGTGCCACCACCGCCTGGCTTCTAGTAAGTTTTTAATAAATACATTTACTCTGTAAATACTTTAAAAATGAAGAAGCACTTTACTTATTTATTTTTGTTTTTTTTCGAGAGTTTCTTTGTGGCTTTGGAGGCTGTTCTGGAACTAGCTCTTGTAGACCAGGCTGTCCTTGAGACCCGCACATTTCTACCTCCCAAGTGCTGGGATTAAAGGCATGCACTACTACTGCAGGACTGAAGCACTTTTATTTTAAGGTTATTCAATTCAGTAGGTAACTCATTAATTGTGCATGAAGTTCTGGGAGTGAAAGTATTTATAGACCAGAATAGACACAGAAAAGATTTATTCAGAAAATTGACATTGCTGTAAGAGACAGTCTCTGCATGATAACTGTCCTCTGAGAATGTAGGTTCTATATGTTAGTAAATAGACACCTATTTTTACTATTTTGTTAAATAGTAAATTATATGCATCTGGTGTCTTTAGATTGACTATTTGTTGTAAGGTGGCAAAGACCATTAGGAGTTAGACTAAATATTTTCATAAGGCATCATGGGGCTACTTGAATCAGGTTCTAAGTAGTCAGGGTCTGATTATTTGGTAGTTTCTGTTTTTATTTTTAACCTTTTCTCCACATTTACTTAAGTAATTTGATCTTGACATTGACTTGATGCTTACAGTTTGTGATGAATAAAACAGATCAGTTGTTTGTCCACTGAATAATTCCCTAGGAAGATAGGCATTAAAAAGTAATTTGAAGTTTGAGATGTTTTTGACAGTCTCACTATAAAGTGGTGTGTGACTATGTAAATGGATTGTATATATGATGATGTTATTGTTGACTATTTTGTGAACTGAAATGCAAAGGTTACACTAAAAACATTTCATTGGTTGGTTGTTTTGTTTAATGTTTTTTGAGATGGGATCTTGATCTGCAGTTCAGGCTGGCATAGAGTTTATTATTCTCCATCCTCTGTATCTGGAGTAGTGGGATTATAGGAATATGCTACCATGTCTAGACAAAAAAATAACTATATATTATTTTTTGATTTTTATGAGATTTATTTTCATTTATGTGTACATGTGTGTATGTGTGTCTTCCTGTTTGTGCAAGCGAATACTTGCTTAAGTTGGAAGATTTTTCCAGAGCTGGAGTTACAGTCAGTTGTGAGCTGTCCAATGTGAGTGCTGGGAACTGAACTCCAGTTATCTGCAAGTGTAGCAAGCACTCCATGAAAGTGTCAGGTGTATATGTGTGGGTCAGAGGACAACTTCTTGGAGTCATCAGTTCTCTTTTTCTCCGTTCATGTAGTTTCTGGGTATTGAACTCAGCTTCATCAGGCTTGAACAATAGGTGCTTTTCCCACTGAATTATCTTGTTATCCCTCAACAACTAATTTTTATTGTTTGTGTGTGTGTGTGTGTGTGTGTGTGTGTGTGTGTGTGTGTGTGTTTATGTGGATGTATGTTTTCTGGACCTGGCCAGGCCCCGCTGCCACTTCAGTCCCCAAATAACACATAAGACACTATATTAGTTATAAATCTGTTGGCCGTTGACAAGGGCTTCTTATTGGCTAGATGTGTCTTAATTACTAACCTATTTCTATGTCTAAGTATTTCCACATGGCCTTATCTTACCGGAGAAATGTCCAGAGACATGTTACTCCTCTGGCATCCTACATGATGACTCTGCCTTTACACAGAGAATAGAATTGTCCCTGCTTATACACTGATTCTGCTTAGCTACATCACTTCCTGCCTGTCTTTATAGACCTCTATACCTCTATGGTTAGCTAATGGAAGGTTCTGCCCAGCTATATCACTTCCTGGGATCACATGATGACTCCTCTCTGCCTACATTTCCTAGAATCCTCCATGTGTCCTAGACCTACCTATAATCCTGCCTGGCTAATCAGTGTTTTATTCATCAATCAATAAGACAAACATATACAGAAGAACATTCCCCACCAGATATATGTCACATGTATATCTCTGCTCATGAAGGCCAAAAGGGGGCAGTAGGTACCTTGGCACTGTAGTTATTGGTGATTGTTTGATAGTGCTAGGAACTAACTTGGGTCTTCTTGAAGAGCAGCAATTATTCTTAGGAGCTGAGTGATCTTTCTAGTCCTTCAGCAACTACTTTTATTGATCTATGTGACATGTATTTTTTGAGGGGTCTTCTATTTTGACATAATCCTTTTTTCTTGTTGAAGACTATGATGTGTGTATTTATTTGGTTTTGTTACTATTTTCTTTATATTATATAAATCTAGGTTTCACTTCTCAACTGCACACTATTTGTTATCATTTTTTGTATGTGTGTTTGTATGTTTTTAATTTAAGGCCTTACATATGATAGATACTTTAAAATTTGGTTGAATAAATTAACATCTACTTATGGACTTGAACTGTCTTATGTGTTAAATCTCTAAAACTTTTTAGTGCAAGTAAAAATCAAACTTGGTATCCACATATTTTATAAATGCTGCCAGCTCTCTACCTTATCCATTTTGAGATCCTGTGCTGGTGATCGTTAAGGGGAGAAAAAAGGTACTATTAATATTAGATAGATATGTTTACTTTGCTTATCTGTACTCAGATAAGAGGCTTAATGAGTCTATGTATAAATATTCTCCTAGTTTTAATCATTTATACTAAATTAATGAACGGTTTTTTAATAGGTAATCTTGATGTATTTTCTCCCACCTCTTGCTCTAATCAGGATTGCTTCACAGTTGAGGGAGAAGATTTGAGGCATGATTTTGAACGCTTACAACTGGCCATGGAAATGGTAGGATTTCTTCCCAAGACACGAAGACAGTGAGTTTTAAGAATTTTATTCATTTACTGTCGGTTTTGTATTTCTAATAGAAAATAAAGCATGATGTATCAGACATTTCTCTTAGTTACTTTAAAAACATTTTTATTCTTTGACAATTGCATACTTTTATACAATGTATCTTAATCATGTCTATCTTCAGCTTCCTCCTATACCCTACTGAATAGAATTAGTGTTGCTTGCATAAGCATGGAGCCTACCCGCAGCCATATCCATGAAGAAAAATGCACTTCATCTTCTTCAATAGCCAACTGTTGCCAATAGTTCCACTGCCAGGGATGGAACCCCATGAATCCCTCCCTTAGCCATGCTGTGATTATTCGCTGGCTTGATTTTATGCAGTCTTTTGCAGGTTACTATAGATTCTATGAGTTGGTAAATTCATTGGCCATGCAATGTCCAGAAGACAGCATTTGGAACACTCCTCTCCGTTCTTTGACCCTGAATGGTGTTTTCTGAATGTTGTAGGATTTATACAGAAGTCTCATTTAGGACAGATTACTTAGTAGTTGGGCCAGTTATAAGTCTCTGTATGGACTGCCCACTGCAAAAGAATCTATTTTGACCATTATTGGGAGCAACACTAATACATGGGTATAAACATAAATATTTAGAAGGCAGTTTGACAGAATGTCTTTAGCAAAATAACAGTAGTGGGTCCTTCTACTGGGGCCCATGACCTCCTTAGTGTCCTCAACTTTTGACCACAGTTGCAATATTCCTTCTTGTGGAGCCGGTATTAGATTCCATCAGAAAACAGTTGGCTATCTCCATATTAGTCCTGTCACTTTCCTTGATTTTTAAAAATTTTTATAAATGGTATCACTATTGCTTTAGTTATATTAAGATTTGAGTGTTTTCTTCTCCCTTTTTAAGCTATATAGTCTTTGAGATGCTGATGAAAGCTAAAATACTTTGGTAAAATGTATATCCGTAAGAATTCGCATATGATTTGGGGACTTCATGAAGCTTCCTGAAAACCTATCCATGGACATAACTTAAAAACTGTTATTTTATTTATTTATTTATTTTTGGTTTACGAGACAGGGTTTCTCTGTATTGTTTTGGAGGCTGACGGTCCAGCCTGGCCTCGAACTCAGAGATCCTCCTGCCTCTGCCTCCCGCGTGCTGGGATTAAAGGTGTGAGCCACCACGCCCGACAGTTAGTTTTTTTTTTTTAACAGTTTTTCATTTTCCACATCTTTAGTGGTCTTTAGTGTTAAGTCATGAAAGGCTATATACAACATTATATGCATGTTTACATGTGTCCTCTTGTATTAGTCTTGATCTGTGGATGTAGCTCCATGATAGAGCACTTGGCTTGCATACACAAAACCCATAGACTCAATCCCTAATAACAATATTGTCAACAAATAAAAACCAAACAACAACAAAAAAAACCCACATATAATTTATAGATGGTAATATATACAAAATGGAATTGTAAACCTTTTAAAAGGGCTAGAGAAGATGACTCATTGGATGAAATGCTTGATATGAGTAAATGAGGGCAGGAGTTCAGATCCTCAGAATGCCATCAGAAAAGCTTGGTGGGCATGATGGCCTCCCTTTGATCCCAGGGGATAGGAAGCTACGATGGGAATCTCAACAGCCAAAATAGAAAAAAAAATGACAAGTTCTGGTTCAGCAAGTGACCTTACCTCAATATATGCCCAAGGTGGAGAGAAATAAGAAAGGACACCTGTGAATTGGAGCCATGGCTCAGAGGTCAATAACACTGGCTGATTTTCTAGATGAGGCTGTTCAATTCCCAATAACCATATGGCCCCTCACAACCAATTTGTAATTCCAGTTCCAGGGGATCTGCTGCCCTCTTTTGGCCTTTATAGGTGCTACATGAATGTGTTGCATAGACAAACTTGTAGGTAAAATACCTATGCACATAAAATAATATAAATAAATTGTATGATATATTCATGTGAACATTAATATTCCAATTTTTGAAAAGTGGGTCATACATTTTGGTCATTTTTTGACTTCTAGTTTTTATGATGTTTTAGTGATACTGAATTCCTTTCTCTCTTTTTTTTCCTTTTTGGTTTTTTGAGACAGGGTTTCTCTGTACCTTTGGAGCCTGTCCTTGAACTCACAGATACCTGCCTGACTCTCCCTCCTAAGTGCTGGGATTAAAGGTGTATACCACCACTATACTGCTTAGTTTTCTTTTTTTTCTTAGAATACTTTTATGAATTATTCCTTTGGAATTGACTTGTGTTTTCTAATTTTAAATTAACAGGAAAAAGCATGCTTGTGAATTAGATATTGATAAAATACCTCTTGAAGTATATTTGGTTCCGAAACAGTATGTTTGTTTTAATTAGGATATTTCCTAATTTTGCAAAGTCAAATATCAGCTATTATAAATTCTTAATTACATGAAAATGCAAGAAGACTCATGGTTAAGTTTTCACAATAGGTTAGATTTATCCTAAGGAAGCAATAAGTCAATGAGACATATAGATATGTGCATTTAGGGTACTTAAAAATACTTTATTTTTTATTTAATCACGTGTATATGCCTGTGTGTGGATTTGTACCCATGAGTATGGTATCCATGGAGGCCAGATGAGGGTGACTGATTTCCCTGGAGCTGAGTTGCAGGCTTTTGTGAACCATATGATGTGAGTTCTGGGAACTGAATTTGTGTCCTCTTCAAGAGTAGTTAGTGGTCTTAACTGGTGAGTTAGACATCTCTCCAGCACCTTTTGAAGGGCTTTAAAAAAGTGTGTGTGTAAGAAGTTCTTGTTTACTTCTAAGACATATAAGACATATAAGACATGTAAGATTGCGGCAGATGTTAAATGGTAGTGAATAGGAAAGTAAAGACAAGGAGTTTGAGTTAACAATTCAGTAAACTTTTTGTAAAGAGAAGGACAACACGTGGAATCTAGGGTGATTTATTTTACATAAGAAAAACTGCATTTTGATAAAAGTTGTTCAAGATTCAAGTGAAAGTATCTCCTGAGTTATCTGGGGTTGATGGGATATAATGTATATGTGGAGGGTTTACTTTTAAAATTGGTTTTAAAATTTATTTTTATGTGTGTATTGGTGGTGGGTTTGCCTGCATGTATGTCTGCACCATGTGCATATCTGGTGCCAGCGGAGGCCAGAGGAGGACATCAGAACCTCTGGACCTGGAATTACATATGGTTGCAAGCTATCATGTAGGTACTGGGAATTGAACTTAGGTCTTCTGAGCCATCTCTCTAGCCTGAGCAGTTAGTTTTGAATGGAAGGTATATATGCCCAGGAGGGAAGTAGATAAAAGAGGGTTCATTTGACAGCATTTCACAGTAAGTGACATTGTATTTTGGAGTAAATTCCACCAGCTTCATAATTAAAAATTACATATGTATAATATTTTTCAATGGTAAATATAGGAAAACATTTAAAATTAAATTAAATATGAAAATTCTCCTACGATACTGGATAAAAAGTGGATTCCAAAGCCTTCCTTTAGGGGATTCCTATTCAGTGTTTTTGAAATAACATGCAGAAGAATAGCATTTAGAAAGGAATGGCTTGGTAGGCCTTGATGCACACCTTTAATCCCAACACTCCGGAGGCAGAGTCAGGTGGATCTCTGTGAGTTCAAGGCCAGCCTGGTTACAGAGTGAATTCTAAGACAGGCTCCAAAGCTACAGAGAAACCCTGTCTTGAAAAACAGAAAACAAACAAACAAAAAAAAAAAGAAAGAAAGGAAGGGAGGAAGGGAGGAAGGGAGGAAGGGCGGGCTCTTGTGAAACATTATAACAAATTCAGGCATTAGCAAGAAGCCCTCTTGGAAGAATTATGCATCAAATTTTATTGTATGTAATATTATATGTATTGTATATGTAATGTTACATGTAAATAATTTAACACTTGACATATAGTTAATAGTGAAGTTTAGTTCAAATTATCATTCTTTCGTGAAGATTAAATACTTCATAACTTGTACTGGTAAATTTGTTTTGGATTTTGGAGTGAAATGAGCTTTGAGAATGTATAGTGCAAACTTTAATCTGTGCTTTTATTTTCATAGGATTTTCTCTCTGCTCTTAGCAATACTCCATTTGGGCAATATTTCCTATAAAAAGAAGACCTATCGGGATGACTCTATTGATATCTGTAATCCTGAAGTACTACCTATTGTCTCAGAATTATTAGAAGTGACTCATTAATTCTCAGTACTTATTTCAGATACGGGGTAAAGTCTTATTTTTATTTTATATCTCCTTTATACTTGTAAGTGGGTTTATTTAGTTAAAATTGATTTTATGATACTGTTTTAAGAATAGCTTGAGATGCTTTTTTAAAATTTGAAATTGCAAATAATACCTTTTAGATCTTGGTTCATATGCCTCTTCATGGAGTTTAACCTTATTAAGAATGTCTAAAGTAATTCACTGTGCTTGGCACAATTTAGGTTAGTTTGAGAGAAAAAAATTATTTACTAGTATGTGTCCATTATAAAGCTACAGTGCCACTTGAGAGCATCTACCTCTTTTTTCAAATCTCTAACTGCAGTGTTTATTTTTTCTTTATATATGGCTGGTCGTTGCGTAGTAAAAGAGGCAGGAAAAAGGAATGTCTTTAATTGTAGTTAGATCCATTCTAACAAGATGTAGACTACTGTATCTGGAGGTTGTAATTTTGAAGGTCATAGACTAGATTTTAATCAGGCATTTCAGACAATATTTTAGTCAACCATTTAGTATTAATGATAAATTAGGACATTGTGCCTGATGGATCCTATTTTTAAACCCAGATATAAATAGCAAAGATTCTAGTCTTAATTGAGTATTCTTTTGTCAGGCTAGTTAAGAGAGGTTTAGGGAAATTTAAAAAAAGAAATTCAGGGTTTGGGAAATGTACCTGTTATTCAAGCATGAATACCTGAGTTTGGATCCAAATACCTAAGTAAAAGCTGGTCTTGTGCTTCTGTAATCTAAGCACTGGCAGGGTGAGAGTCAGTTGTCAGGAAAGGCAATACCCTGAGCTTATTGCCAGTCAGTATAGCCAGTCAGTGAGCTCTGAGAGACCCTGCCTGAAAAATTAAGGTGGCCATGCCTTAAATCCCAGCACACAGGAGTTAATAGGTAGGTGGATCTTTGTGATTTCAAGGTCATTGTGGTTTTCATAGTCAGTTCTAGGATAGAGAGATTCTGTCTCAGAAAACAAAACAAAGTAAGATCGCTAGAAATAAGATGCTGAATCATGTCATACACACACTGAACACACATTGATGCACATAACAAAGTTTTTTTGTACTGAAAATTCTTTTATGTGTATAATTGTAGAATTGTTTTGCTTGCATGTATATATGTATACCATGTGTGTACCCAAGAAGGTCACAAGAGGACATCATATTCTCTGGGACTGGAATTACAATGTTTTTGAGCCACCATATGGGTGTTCAGAACTGAAACAAGGACCTCTG